TTTTTTTTGTATTTAATATCCGACTTTTCCTATAGAGAGAAGTTTAAAGTTTCAGGATAGATTAGAGAGTCAAATATTTACTCGTGGTTTTTCGTAGTTGTTGAGACAGTGTGCCCCTCGGTGTAATTACGAGAATAATGTAACGCAGTAATCGCGGATACATACATGACAATAATCGATAAGTTATCGATGAATAATGCATACAGACGGCAAAAGCATCTGAAAGAAATGATTCCGATAATAGCAGAGAATGTTGAGAATATAGAGTCGATGTGATTCTAACGCGCGTAATCTGTTCTTCGAGTATATTTTTAAATCTGCTTTGCGTTCGAACAGGAGGAGAAAAGCGAAATTTTTTCCCCGCAAATTGATGACATACATTTTCTCTCTCTTTCTTTTTTTTTTTTAAATACCGCGGGTATAATAGAAAATTATATGGCGTCGGTTGGAAATCTGCATGTAGGACATTAATGCGCCTTTCACACTTTAACATGAAAGTAGTGCTTACCTGCATGAAAAATGTGTTTATAGACCATGAACATTATGTATAAAACTAAAGAGAAAAAAACATTGACGCGTTTGTCGTATTTCCATACATTTTTATTACAATGTTTTTACGAAGCTTTTTTTTTTACACTTAATTCAAAAAATGTGAAATTTTCCGATTATGCGACGGTAAGAGACGATAGTGGCGAATAAAAACGTGATGGGGGGAAAAAAGGTGGATATTCGCGTTATATTCTTCTTTCTGTCTGTTATTGGCAAAAACCAACTTGCCGATCGCGGAGTTATTTTCTTCCAACTGCTGCGTTCGATATATATGTGATGACTGCTTTTTTGCGATACAGTATGTTTTCGACTAAATTAACAAATACGATCGCATGATATTGCGTGATCGTGATCAGTGACTGCTACTTCATAGAATTTTTAGCGCTTTAGTGGTCGATGAAATCACAACAATGTATTTTTCAGTGGTCAGTGACTGCAGCACTCATGTGATTTTCATGTGATTGTAAATTTTTAATAAAACCTGCCTTGCTCCCGGTGAAAATTATTCCCGAAGTACTTAAACATCTTTTAAACAGCCAGAAAGTTAGAAAGTTGTTGAAATATTTTTTCAATTAATGATACTTAATATTTAACCTCTTGCGTTGGAATGACGTGCCACGCACATCAAGAGTTTTTCGCTCCCAAATTGCAATATTTTCTCAGTTTCAAGTATATTTAAAGTGAAACAAAATAGGCGAAACAAATAACAAGTTTATTAATTCTCAATGATTTCTATCCAATGATATCATACCGAAATAGTTCAAAAAGAAAGCGACGAATTATTGTGTACGGTTTGGTCACTCGTTATGGTCCGCAATCAGTCGCCAGCGCAAATGGTTAACGTCATTTCTGTAGGGAATAATATTAATATAGTGTGATTCAGTTCGTTTCTTGTTTTGTTGAACTATCTATTTGTATAGCAAGTAGTTCATCAGTAATTTGCATTGATAGATTAAAATCGGACACCCTGTATAAGAGTGTGCACACATGGACACAGATACGCGTAAATACATTGCGCACGCGTGTTGAAGATTCTTAAATGGTTTGTACGTCGATAATGTAATGATATAATATACGCACTTGTTTTATATCATAATTAGGTACGTTTTATGGTAACTGGCGGGCACAACAAAAACACAGATATTATTGATCCATTTGTTGAAGCGCTACTTCTTCAATTATGGTTGATTATTTTGACAAGAATCGTATGAAATATTTTGCGTGACTCGCAAGAAAACTTCTGAGATAAAATTCAATTTTCTCGTAACGTTATTGCGCTTGTACATAATATATACTTGGATATATACATCAAAAGTATTTTCGCACACGTGTGTGTATGTGTGTGTATGTGTGAATTGTGTTTGATAAGAGTAATGAATGGGTGTAATAATGAAGCCGAGGATTGATGACTGTTACCAACACGATAAGAAAACCCGAGTTTTGATTTTTATGTAGGTTATGTTTCTTTTTAAATATAGTTTGATTTCAAACGATTGCTTCGATTATTATGCTTTATATGATTATATGTAAATGTATGTAAAATTATTAGACAATATTATTGGAAAAAAAAAGAATGTTATTCCTCTTGCAAATACTAAACACGAGGATCGATATTTGTTACACGGCATATCTGCGACCTTATTAATAAACGGAGCAACATTTAATATATGAAAAATAGAGAATGAGATAGTGCATCGATACCTTCGATCTTTGTTGACGTAGTATACTGACAGCAGCAAAATAATGAATGTTTCCTTACAGTGCGTTATCGGTTAAAGGGTAATATGTAAGTAAATATACAAATTGTGAATTGCACTATATTTTCTAAACGAATGTTCGGTGATTTTATCAGTATTTTATGAGCGAGAAGTTGAGAAATCAAGCTGCTCGTCAGGAAGATGATTTCCGAGTTTGATTAACGATGTCTCTAGTCACTTGCAGCTGGCATTATTTGATGAATTTCCAAGATTTTCAAATGATACATATTTAAATTATTAATACTCGCCGTTTGTGTATATTTGTCTTGTATATATTTCGAGGAAATTGTCATTTCGTTCGTGAAATGTCGACGATGTTAATAGCAGAACTAGTATCGAAATGATAAAACCGGCTAAAAATTCTATAATTTTTTAAACAGGTTCCCCATAGTTTGTAAAATTCGTGCTCTTTCTAACTTTTTCCTATTCCTTGCGTTCTAATTTCTCTGATATAATTTTTATACTTTAATCGGCCGTGGCATCAGTGCTGAAAATGTTTCACCAGTGTGAATTTATAGATTTATTCACCAGTGTAATCATTTTTGACAAAAAAAAAAAAAAAAATTGCTTGTATCTAAACCTGATTCAGACGTAAAATACGTACACTACGCGTCAGAACGATGATATATCGCAATGATAGCTTGGTTCCTGGTTTATGTTCTCGAGTTTTCTATTGAGAGACATGCAAGACAGTCGTCATTCGCGACAGATTGTCATGTGACATAAGTAATAGATTGTACAATCTTTCTGTTACTTTAGAAGTTGATGATTGTTCGGTAATTTTGCATTCGTCGCAAGCATTAACAAGAAGTCTGCTCGTCAGTTTATAAAGCGTCAGGTATTTTTCAATATTTTCATTCTGTCCACGTAAATTCATAAAATTCACTATTACGTGCTTCGTCTTTTATTTCATTTTCATCGACAGGATAAGCCCATATCGTAATGTAGTTACGATGATGCAAATATCGTCATCATTTTGTTTCTTTTCTCGAAATATATCCTTGTACAGAAATAGGTTTCTCGTGATATTTAATACTACACTCGCTCTGCTATTACTACGCCGACTAAAATGTGCTAAGGTTAAACTGAATTGTACTGTCAGGAGCATGCGTTTCCTTTGAAATCCTTTTTTTCTTATTTCGATACGTATGACTTATACCCAAAATTTTGCCCAACCTTTCTAAAATACCCTGCATGTGATTGCTCGGCGAACTTGCTAGTCGACGTGCGGATATTAAAGTTGCGCTGAAGACCAGAAAATTTGGAAAGCTTTTATGAACGTTCCGTACCATTCTATTGGACCTAGACTACTTTCACATAAAAAGGTTGAATTTTACGGAGTTACCCAATTTCATGCGCGTTTCCATCGCGAGACGTTAAATTGAATCTGTCTTCTTTCTTTTTCTCCTTTCTTCTTTCAGACGAACTCGCGGTCAATTAATATTCTCAAAAATAATCTTCGCTCCTCAGGCGTGATAGTTTCTTCAATTTCTTATATAAGAATCTTTTCTCTCTTTTTTGCGACAATTCTATTCGAACATTTTCTTTTGAGTTTACCGAATTTCAAATTAGGAAGATTGAATATAAAAAGTTAAACGATATTTCGTAGCTTACATAAGCTGTTACTGTGCAGAAGTGTTCTTTGTATGGATTTCTATTTATCATGTGGATGAAAGTCTACAATAACTGTATTTGTCTCGAAGTTTGAAGTGTAAAGAAGCCTTCTCAATTTTACACGCCTTTTCACCGCCCTGCCTTATTGTTACAATATACATTAGGAGTACTGCTGGGTATATTTGCTGGTCTTTATATCGCTATGCTACATAGTCAATTTCCTGTTACAGATATCATCTTCATCGACCTAGATTTATGACATGCAGTTGATACCTATAGTACCAGTAAATTTTCTGATACTATATACATCTTCATTGTCAGACGTTTCATACAAATCTGAAATACTCCGATTTCTACCGTTTATAAAATTTTATCATAATCATAATCATTGTCTAAAGTTGACATAAAATTAAACGTAGCTAAAGATTAAATGTAAAAATTAAACAAAACGAAAAGTTCGTTTAATCAAATTCATGTGATTATTCAAATTCATGTACAGTCTTTTGAATGATAAACAATCTGATGTGATATGTATTTTGTATAATATTTGAATAATTGTAATAATTGTAATGTAATATTAAATAATGGTAATAATTATTATAATTAAAATTATAATATTAAAAAATATTTATATATAAAATATATACTATTAAAATTACAACAATATCTTATATGATATTTTAAATAATTCTTTGTTACCTTTTTTTTTTTAAAGATGTACCATTTTAAAGAAACTGACTTTACAAAGCAAGATTCAGATCAAAAATCAGACGGTAGTTTTTTCTTGGTTTAATTAAAGAGGGAGCAGCGTTGCTCTTTCGAATATTACATGCGCCCTAACCTTTTAAAATTGGCATCATTGAAAGTGCCCAGCCAATATGGAAAATCGAAAACAAAAGAAATGTAAAATTAGCAGTATTGTCGTATAGTCTAAGCTAAATATACTTACGTTGAAAGCTAGAGGAACAATGCTATCTTTTACCTCATATCGTTTGTTCTGCAACCCTTGGTGGAGTTGAATAGACTTTGAGCTGACTAAAGCAGGAAACATGAAATGAAACAAATGCCTTTATGTTTCAGACATTCAGACATGGCTTTCCACATCAGCCGACAGCAGTGGCATTCGATCCAGTTCAAAGGCTTCTTGCTATTGGCACTAAATCTGGATCTCTTAGGATGTATCCTTTTATAACGTTCTTAATATGATCAACTCGTCCAGGTAAAATAAATAAAGATCAGAATACCGAGTTCCCTTTTTTTTTTTTTTAAATCTTTAAGATATCCAATTAAATCTTTAAATCGATTCAAGATAGGTAATTGAAAAGTAATTTGTCAAAAGATTTGAACGATTGATGTCGATCGTTTATCCGTAACGTTTTTCTGCAAATATTCCTAATTCTTCAAAAAAAAAAAAAAAAATACTTCTCCTTGTATTTTCAACCCTGCTGCATTCTTTCGATCCACTCACATTTCTCAAAAATTGAATAGTATCTCAAGTTTAAACGAAAAATTCTTATTAGTGTGCACGTTCTTCGATTAAATTTGATATTAAACTTTTTAAAATATTGTAAATTCTTTTTGTTTGTTAAAGTGAGTGTAAAATTGAAATATAAGATCACGAATTAAGACAATAAATAATCAACAGACATTAAAATTTTCCTTAATTTTGAATTGAAAAAATAGTTCAAATATTCCTTCGACAATGTTCGAAATACGACCAATGTTCATTTTCTCCCGAGCTTATATATGTTGTACATTTTTTCAAAAAATACTTCTGTTGGTCATCCCAAGGTCGTTGGGAGAAATAATTTACTTTGAGGAAGTAGTATTGAGATAAATTGTCTTATCACAGGATTACTTGCTCTGATAGCACGTATCAATATTTGGTTAGTGGATAATCAAAAATATGCTACGTGATCGAATGAAACAAGAACTTATGGATTTTTATGTCTCTGGCTTGCTTGGTTGTATAATTAAACGCAAGCATCCAAAGAAACTTTCGCAGTATTAATTTCGCAGAGATGTTTAATGGTTCATCACAGATGATGATTCTGTTGGTACGATATCTGGATGTAGATCTATTTTCTCTCTGAGCAAGTTGTATCTTCAGAACTGATTATCTATTGTCATTATACAGAGATGAGAAGATAGGTTGTGGAATGAGACAAGAGGAGTACTCTCACTAGTTCTACCTGTTTTCATCTTTGATACTTCAAAGTCCTCTACTGTTAAGTTTTTGACGAGATCACCGTTATAATCTTTATCTAAATGTCGACGATTAATGTCTATGTTTTTAACCATGTTTCGAAGCTTGTATCCTATTTGCTCGCTTCGATCAATCATGAAAATTTCTCTTCTTGAGATAAACCTAGAATACTATATCTAAACTGCAGATTTCATGCATCTGTCAAAGAATTATAAAGCAAATGACATAGGATATGAAAGAATATCTACATAAAGCATCATCCAGAGTTCTGCAACTTCCTATCGAGGTTCTATTAAAATACAAATTTGTATAAAAATCCATAGTCTGATTATAATTGATCATATATAATAATTGATCACATATTCCACCTTTTCAATAGCGAATTTGTCTGTATACCCAGTACCTTTAGCTTTTGTCCAGTCTCGGGTTGGCTGATTGCGCGTCTCTTTGCTGTGTGTTTGATCGTACAGTTGACACTATCTGCGTTACAAATTAATGCAACATAGTCACGCTGACGATATATCTGATCGAATTGTGCGCTGATGTTTATTTCATGTAGCGTGAAACCGGCAGCGTGTAACCAGCAGTGTGATGGCGATCTTTTTGTGACTTTGTTACCGGTGAAAGTTACCAGTGACCAATTACAATCGATCATTTTTGACTATTTCTATTGTCGTTGCTGACATGTCCCACATCCAAAGGGTGATGGATTCACTGAAGTTCAAGCATAGGATACACTCGGTTCTCGGTAACGTTGATCAACGAAGCACGCCAGGCTTTAACAGCTTTTATAGATCGTAGTGGTCGATGCTTCGACACGGAGAAACTCGCAGAAGCAAGAATTACAGAGAAGAAGACACGATACGTGGAACTTCGATTAAATTTCTAGTTTTTCAATTTATTTGCCATAGACAAAACTTGTCCAATGTTGTGTAATTCACGACGAGCTCGTTGTCTTTGTCTAACTTTTGATGAAATTCCTCGTCGCGACGATTGACTTTTACATTTATACGTATGCACGTCTTGTTGAACAATCATCAATTGGGGAAAATTTTATTTGATTTTACTGGATTAATTACTCCGTACGATTGGTTTGTGGTTCGTCAACCGTGTGCTCTTTCACGTGGGTGCCTCTATCGGCCTATTCTGACTAAAGATTTACCAGGTAGTGGTAAATGCTCATCACAGCTCGATAGGCTTCCTAGTTGCTGTTATCGCGACAGGCAGAGGCATTTGCTACAAAGTAACTACTTTCATCTGAACGGTGCGCTTTATTGCTCAATAAAATCTTTGAACGGCTCCGTACAGAGAGTCGATCCTGCACGTATGAAGAATGCAGAAAATCAATTATTGCACGATGCGCTGGATGTGAAATGATGGATGAGATTTAGAGCAGGGCCTGATTTATTTAACGGATGTACAACCGCTGATTTTAACCAACTAACGTGTTAATTACAGCTGGCATGATTTTATTTGTAATCCTTTTCAATGAATTTATGTCATTGAACGAAAGTGAATTCCAAAAAGATTCGCTTGATATTTTCTCGTCGTTACATAGGTTCAACCGCAATTTTATAAAATTTAGCGTCTATATATTATGTTATTTATTTTATCTATTTATATTATTTATTATATATTTTATTTATACTATTTATTTTATAAAATTAAAGTATCTACATATTATATTATTGAGATAAATTATTGTCTTAATGGGTTAAGCAGAAGCTTTTACAATCGCCATCAGAAAAGATACATTGGGAAATACGACTCTTTCATAATTTTGGTTAAATTGCTAGTTGCAAGATGGACAGAATTAGGGTTGTAAAGCGGATATTTTTGATTTTCCTTGATGAAAATGGTTAAAAAAATAGTTTGGGCCGGCCAGGCGTGGATGCACACGTGAAACACGAGGGATGCACAGCGGTGATGCAATTACAGTTTTTAATCAACGAGGGAGCGTTAGTTTCCGCTACTGCGGACGATACTTTGCATCTATGGAATTTCCGACAGAAAATACCACAAGTTGTGCAGAGTCTCAAATTTCAAAGAGAAAGGTCAGTCTGTTTCATTTCTCTATTTCGAATGTTCATTTCACTTGCTGTGCACAGTACAGTAATTTTGCAACGACAGTAATTTTCTTCTCATACGCATAGTTCTTTTACGAAATACGATAGAACATCAGAATATTTGAGTATTAAAATTATATTGAAACAATAGATGGACATAATTATCCATTACTTACTATTATTTAGGTGATAATTTGTCACTTACAATATATTATATTTAATATAATTACAATATATTATATTATATTATAACATAATATAATATATTATATTATGTCACTTACAATATAATATATTATATTACGTCACTTACAATATAATATATTATATTATTTACACTCTTATATTATAAAAAGGATATAAGAAACTTCTTATTTAACAAATATTATATATCTTTAATTAAAATGTAAATATTCATATCTCTCTATCAATTGCTAATCTGTAGTATAAAACAAAATGATAGGAGTATGTATATTTGTATGTTTCATATAATAATTCAAGAATAATTGAAATAAGGAAATGTTCATTTTATGTGCTACCATACATATTCTGTGGTATAACGTATTGCAATTGGATTACACAGTGATAATTTAACGGGTCAAATTTCCTTTACATTTTTTCAAATAGATGATTGTTAATGATCGAGGCCGTAATGCATTTTGCTTTGTGTGTTGTATTTTAAACAGAATAACGTGCATCCACCTACCACTTCAAAGTAAATGGCTCTATGTCGGCACGGAACGAGGGAACATCCATGTCCTTCATATCGAGACGTTCGTCCTTTCTGGATACGTAATTAATTGGAACAAGGCTATCGAAATGTAAGTACGCGAATCTCTGTCCACGTGATTTAGATTAAGTTATGATAATTAACTAACGAACAATATCATACGTACATATGTAGAATATACATTTGCAGTTACGTCTTGTTCAAAAACTGTCTTCATTGTTACTCTTACACGTACTTTCTTGTGTACTGTTGGATTATTTTCCAATTGATAAATGAACAGTCCGATTGTTTTGATACAATATGTATATATATATATACAGGTCACGATGGAGATTACTTTTTATTTCTCTTAATTAAGTTATACAATTTGATGGACGACTTACGACACGAGTGTTAGATGTTTTGCAAATTAACGTTGGCAGTCCGTTAGCTTAGATATTTGCCGCTTTACACCAATTGGAGCAATTTCCAAAAAAGATGAGTGAGACTAGAATTAAGGAATTTAATTTGCAATCATAAGTACGTACGTCATACTAGAATGTGTGCATATGTTTAATGTGTGAATGTATGAAGGGACCATAACTAAAGGATAATGATGTGCACGAGATCGTTGGTCATTGTAACGTTAAAAAACGAGAGGACACGCGTAGAAAAGGAGACCACGGAGTGGATGAAAATTCGAGATATATACTAGAGAAATAATCGATGTGGATATAATATAAATAATTATTATGTAAAATTTTCCAGAGGGCTCTTGATTATCCAAGAAGGATGGGAAATAATGCCATTCGTAGATATCAAATTCTAAGATTGAATATAATATAAAAAAATAATATTGAATATGATACACATGTGAATTTAACTGTAAATCTTGTATAACTATCAAATATCAATGTGACGAGTCTTAACGGTGGTAGAGTTATTAGTATCAAAAGAAAGAATGGAAGAATGTCGATCACTTATGCTGATATACTGAGTGGCAAAATTAAAAGATGATGAAATTACCGTCAAGAAGAATTATCTTTCAACTATTTCTCTGAGATTCACTTTGAGGCTGTCTTTACACCAGGAGATGAAGCAGAAAAGTAAAATGTTCCCTTTTTCGAGAATTTTACCAAATCAGACAGTTTTGCAGGATTCAAGAAATTTTTCTGCGATTTAATTTACTATGAACTTGAAAGTTCAAGCCTTCTTTTTACAAAGACTCTTTAAAAGTTAATATACGATTTTGTGTTATCGTTTCGTTGCACTTTCAGTGAAAATGTTTCGTTGATGTATAATATATAATACCAAGAGAAGGTTGGATCGTGTATGTATTAGCATGTTTAATACAAATCTCAAATTATAAACAAGACAGGATTTGAGTACAGTTTTTCCAATCCTGCTGCAATATATTGCACTTCCCGTGCAAAATATCCCTCGTTTGTTAAAGACAAACAACATTAATCTTTGATTACCCGCTAATAAGTCCAAACATGAATCCTATCAAACATACATGACTCGTAACATTGTTTGAACAGAGATATATTTTGACGCTTTGGGAACAATACATCTTGATCGTCTCTCGAGAAACGTTAATGCAACAAGAGTGTTATACTAAATACATGGTAATTCATTAAACACATTAAACACAATCAATCGCAGTATATTCATAGTATACACTTGATTGGTATACATTGAGTTATTTTTATATTTTGATAATATACAAGTCATTTAAAATACAACGAAACGATGATAAAAAATTATGTGTCAATTTCTAAGGAGATTCTACAAATAAATTTTTAAATTCACGATTCATTTAATTGGGTTGCGAAGACAATCCAAGAGAATCGTTTGATTTTGTAAAATTGAAGAAAAAGAAAGTGTTGACGTACTCTTCTAGTGTAAAGAGACACCGAAGAGAATCATTTTGTTTCTTAGTGAGATAAAAATAAAAACGACTTCAGACGGACGTGCGATTTTTATGCAATTTCATATTTTTAAAAACTGAAACCTAAACAGAGATTTGTTTCTGCTATTAAATGTTGTAACAGATATGTATTTCGATTTTCGATATTTTATATATTTTTTTTTGCGTATTGTATGTATGCTGTATATTTCTGCATCCTTAAATCTCTCGTAATTGCACAAAAATCTTCAATCTGGTTGTACAAAAATTGACAATGATGATTTCGTGATATTTTAATTGTGTCACTTGATATAATATTTATGTCAATACATGCTTACAGGGTATAAATTTAGCGTAAATATTATACTTATTTAATAACAAACGTAAGCTTTAAGTCTCCACGTAGAATTTTTAGTTGTAGATTGGTTGATTGAAAATTGCAGTAATGAGAGAGGAAATAACATTTTCTGATGTATACACACACGAAATGCATTGATATTCGTAGAATAATTTCTTCATGCAGCAGGAATAAAATGATCATTTGAATGGACAAGATTTGCAGTTTACGAATTTACGGAAATATATAATTTGACAGTGTGATATGCAAATGACAACATAGTTGCAAATGTAAAATCTAATCTACGATTCCCGAAAATTGAAATTTCCTTAGATCTATTGTCTATATTTACAACGTTACTGCTCTTATGTTTTATTCATTCTTCCTGTTCACGATTTTACATTGAAATTGACTAGATATTATAAATTTTTCGATGTATGTGACACTGCTATAGGTATAGATATACTCTAACTCATCTGTTTTATTTTCCAAAATGTTGTTTCAGGATTTGATAAAGGTGACATTTTATGTATATGTTACGCATTACACACCAGCACAGCTTTCATCGTATTTTGTGCATCTGTTTTTAATTTCTCGTTTAAGTTCCTTACGTTTCTCTTTCTTTCTTATTACATTCGTAGATTATACATGATATAATCGTACTGATTTGCACAGATATCGATGCCTTATTAGCGATGTAAAGGAGGATTTGCGTGAAATTCAGAAATATAACGAAGTCAAGTTTTTGTCAAACGTATAGCAATCGTGCATAAAAAAAAAAAGCCGAGTTAACAACAAATCCGATATTTGAGCGTTTCGATATAACGTATGTTTAAAGTACATGGGACTAATACAGAGATATATGTGTAGGCTGCATATAGATTACGTATACGAAAATACGGTACAAATAAATATACATAACAAACGCATACACACAACTACACATGCACACGTATATAATATATGTATATATATTTTCCAGATCTAGAAAGACCCACCCTGGTGCTGTAGTACACTTGAGTGATAATCCTTTAGATTTGAGCAAGGTACGCGTGTTTTTGAGTACGTTTTATTTTGCATTATTCTCCATCCTTACCATGACGTCATTACCTTACATTTTTTCAATATTATTGTCGAAAACTTATGAAATGAAATCATGATGTTAGGATAATAATTCTCAAGATTCATTTCAAACATTTTTTATAAAATTCTTCTTTAAGGTGTTGACTGTAACAAGAACTCAAGAAGTGTGTGCTTGCATGTTGTGTGTGTGCATGCGTGCATGCTATAACTGTCGTACAAAATGATTTAACGAAGTTATTTCTTTCTGATAGAATATCATATCATTTAATTTGTTACTAATACGTACATGTGTCGTGCAGATGCAAAAGTAACGGGATCATTATTCTGCATTTATCTAATTTAAAATAGTAATAATATTTGGTATTTTTTTGCCACACGTATCACGTTCAATTTTCCTTTGTAATTTTAATCTCGCAACAGAGAGAAAAATTCATACATGTCGTGGATGATCGAAATTTTTCATGTTCAGTTTCTCTCTGTATAACTGAATTAATTTTTTTTATTTCTTCACACTTACTTTGTATAATCATATATATATACACACATGTGAATTGTTAATGATACATAGTTATTGCAATATTCAATTTTAAAAATCTTTATCTTACACTTAAGATGTTTTTTTGTTTTTTAACGTTTTTTTTTTTGTCTTCTCAAGTCCCGTTACTTTTGTATCGTTCCAATAAAGCATAGTGGTGTTGCATTAGTCACAGAATATATCAAGGGCTTGACAAAGATTTATCTCGCAATCATAATCACTCATCTTTTTATACATTTTACACAAGTTCATCATTAATACGATTCTATTGATGTCAGGATCAATATGTGTGTATATAGTATACGTATACATTGGGCTGGCTCTCATTTCTTTTTTATCTCATTCTGTAAGATTGTTCCAATCTATGAAGAGACAGAACAAGATAGAAATCGAAACTCGCAATGGACTCGTTGATCTCAATATCAGTGCATCATGCTTTTGTCCGTATTCCAAGAGAGTCCAAGTGATTTGAAGTTCCGCGTTTTTGTTATTTAATTGACGTTGGAAATCACAGATATCGCAGTTTTTGTGATGATTTGGAACAATCATTAGGGAAATTTTATGGATTAAATGGAAAAAGAACTTGTCAAAGATTTATTATCACTAACAATAAGTAAGTTGCAATTAAGAACCACCTTAATTTGCAATCTCTGTCCTTTGGATCATAGGTATCCACGATAGTCTGAATTAGAGTTGAATTAGGTCACTTAATTTAGGGCACTTAACATTAATTCATATTCAATATTTTACACGATAAATACTATTAATGATCCTCGTCACATGGAATAACGCGGAATATAAATTAAGCTCAAGTGCTCTGAAATAAAGTAATTTAATCTCATTTAAACTCACCTACGATCCAATAATATTAATTTGAAAATATACGTGTACAGAACGCAGGATGAAAATATACGTAGACATGTGAAGACTTGTGAAGTGTTTTATGTAGTTTCTGTATATTTATAAGTTTTTGTATATTTTCTGTCGTCTTGTACATATTATAAATAATTATATTAATTTCGTCACACGATGATTTAAGAAACTTAAAATATATCGTTTAGATATATACTAGTATTATAATATCGTTTAAAGATATGTAATATAGTATAATATTAAAATTAGAAAGAATGATTTGAGAAAAGATGCTTTTATAAGCGTTTTTTTTTTTTTTTTTTTTTAACTATACGATTGAAATTGTACAACATTGTTTGCACAAGTAGGAAATGTGTCAGCTAGTTCTAGTCTGGCAATATTTGAAATGTTGTTGTCGATTTGATAATTGAAAAATAGGATAATTATAGAATCTTCCTAAAAATATTATACTGCCTATATAACTTAAGACTCATTCTGATAAATATATGTATATATATATAATTTTATATATATATAATATATGTATATATATATAATTTATTATTGTTCTTTATGAAGTTATAACTCAATATAAAAATATAACATTTTCAAGTTACTTTCTCTTTATATAATTACCAGTATTCCGGCTATACGTATATTTTTAGTCTAATGTATTATTTCAAATATTATTTCAAGATATTACAGAATCGCGCATGCATCTCTTTATGTGCAAATTAAATTCATAATTACATGTTGAAAACATAGCAGAATGGGTATCCTTTTTTTCATCAATATTATAAAAACAGGGATGTCTTTCTAGCATTCTCAGGCAATAAGAATTATTCAATGTTGATTAATAAATTCTTGTATATTCTACTTTGGACATTTAATTTTTGTAAATGGTCACGAAGCATATTTAATAAAGAATGCAGGAGCAGCATCAACATTTTACCAGGATTGGGTATCCATTAATTATTCTCATGTTACAATTTTCATAATTACATTACAATTTCAACACACTGTTCTCGATGAAAATCGTTGGTCGTTGCATTTAAAAAGTTTAATATCAAATTTTGTGATCCATTTCTGCACTACATTTTTCATATTTGTTCTTGTTGTGTGTACGTAATTTGTATTATAAATTATATATCAGTGTATTACGAAAATTTTATTATAAGAAAAAGGAAAAAAAAAAAGATGACATAACAGTTTTCTTAGAATAGCCACTTACGATATAAGTATCCCCATTGTCCAAGATGCTCGTTTATCACGCCTTTAATCTTTAATTTCAGATGCTGATAGGATACGAGTCCGGGCAAATAGTTTTTTGGGATTTGAAAACGAAAAACGCAGATTACAGATGCCAGAGCGATGTACCTTTGAGATCGATATCTTGGCATCACGAAGGCAAACAGTTTATGTGTAGTCATACCGATGGTTCTTTGTCAACATGGACGGTGCGTCAAGTGAAACCAACGAACGTAACGCACCCGCACGGTGAGAGATTCCCTTTCTTTTTCTTTATTAAATCTTTGTCACTAAATCTTATATATATTAACACTGTATACATTGTCACATATATTAAGAACTACCGACTACGACAGTTAAAATAGAAAATTTATAGAGTACAAAGTACAATAGGAGGATAGACAAGAATAGGAAAAACATTTCTGATGCACTGAAGAGCTTTAATTTTTATATTTTACAAAAGGAAAAAAATCAATTGTCAGTCATTTTGATCACTAGTTTTAGATAAAATTATTTTAGAGAAAGCTTCTAGCATTAAACCTGAAGAAGTTTGTTATTTAATTATATAATCACTATTGAATTAAAGAGCTCATCGAATTTTAAAAGGAAACATCTTTCTGAATTTTATTATTCTGTGAACTCTTACAAATTTGTCTGAAGTGCTAAGAATTTTTATTTCTTCTTTATTTCTATGCGTATACGTATATATGCAAAAAATTATATATATAAAATTAGCTGTGTTTTGAAAATACAATATTAGTGGATGTTAAGAAAGTGGACTTTGAGGAATTAATTATTAACAAACTGATGTTACATAAGTGTACTTAATTGTAAAGACTAATTCGTTTATAGAAGAATATAATTTTCAAGATGCATACAATTAAAAGTACACATTCGCCTAACTGTTTCCTTCTATATAGATGCACATATTTACTTGTATCCTCTGACGTCTATGTCTACAATTCCTACATGTTGAGATTTACCTCGAGGCTTGCCTCGAGGCAAGGTCTCCCGTAAAGCGATCTGGGTATCATAATGCATACTGACATGATATCTCACAATCAGTAGCGTACACAGTTTCAAAGCAATGGAATTGCATTTCACTCAACACGTGAGAAAAATTGCAGTTGTTAGATTATTGCAATAACTATGAATATTGGAGAGAAGTATCATATATATATATAAAAATCAGTCAAATAAACTGATTGCAAGAAATGCAGATCTGGTAATTCTCGACAATGATGGATTCAATGATTGCTTTGTTAATGTCTTCACTGTGACATCCGAGGCTGGTATCATCCCTTTGTGGATACCAGAACGTCATACGCGACCTCGTAGCATAATTTGATGAAATGGTTAAATAATTACTGTTGTTCTAAACATATTTTTTGATCAAAGAAGCTCAAGCTTAAACTGAAATTAAATCTTAAAATTGCTAACACCACGCATGATTCAGTTTATCTAAGATTGAAATTGTTAAAATGTTTAGGACTCTGGTGTCATTAAATACATGTATGCGCTTTAAATGTGCATAAAATTTACAGCGAAAACTACTAAAGACGGCGAGCCAGAACCGTGTAAACCGATACAAAAGGTTGAGTGGAAACTCTCAAGATCAGGGTGAGATATTTTCACGCGTTCAATTTACTTTTTAAGGTGGACTCATCGAGCGAGATTTAAATTACATTATATCATTCTGATTAATTTAGGGAGGTGTACGTTATATTTTCCGGTGGTTTAGCATACGACACAACTGGACGAACTCCAAGTATAACGGTGATACATGGGAAAACCACCACTGTACTAGAAATGGAACATAATGTGATAGACTTTATAACACTATGCGAAAATCCATGGACCAGCGGTACATTAATAAAATTGTCAAATTTTTTTTTTTAAGTTAATCCTACGTATTAATTACGGGCTGTGGAATTTTACGGCAACAATTTAAAAAACTAAATTCACGCACAGACAAAAATATTTTTGAATGCTATCCAAATTCTATATGTTTTTGCATCTTCAAATTTGTCATAAATGCATAAAAATCCGCACTCTAATTACAGTAAATTATATCCGTTAATTTCTACTGTGAATTGATTTTGGTCATGATTTTATTTTCAATATTTAGTATTTATAGTAGATAATAAAATTATCAAATTGTACGTGCATTAATAATAGAATTCGCTTCACAGTTTTCTCGTTTCAATTTTTCTAGTAGTTCACACATTCGATGTAACTATTTAAAGAATTAATTATCATTGCACCTGTGTGTATTTAATTCTGACCTCACTAACGTTTCTACAGATTACCAGGATCCATACGCTGTCGTGGTTCTACTACAGAACGACTTGGTTGTGATAGATTTGTCAACACCTGGATTTCCGTGTTTCGAAAATCCATATCCAATGGACATACACGAGTCGCCTGTGACGTGCTGCGCATATTTTGCAGACTGTCCTTCGGATTTAGTACCAGCTTTTTATTCAGTCGGATCGAAGTCTCAAAAGAAGACCGGATTCAGTGAAAAGGATTGGCCGATATCCGGCGGGGAATGGAGCTCAAGTTCAAGCGGTTACAATGAGATTATTTTAACTGGGTAGATATCCTTTTAATTTCAGCAAGAAGATTTAACTAATTAGCTTTTCGTTTTTGCGATTCAAGTGACGATCGAACATGATTTTCAGACACGCCGATGGTAGCATAAAGTTCTGGGACGCATCGGCGGGCACGTTGCAAGTCCTCTATAAATTGAAGACGGCGAAACTTTTCGAGAAAGGTAGAACGCGTAGCATAGACTCGGAAGAAGATCCTTTAGCGATACAGCTCATCTTCCTTTGTCCCGAAAGTCGGAAATTAGCGATCGCGGGAAGCGGGCGACACGTTGTTTTATTTAAATTCAAAAAAGTTGAGAGTATGTCCGAAGTGGTGGTGAGTAATTTATTTATAATATAACGCTTGTAGCTCTTAATGATAGCCGCGGTTGTTGAACTTTATCATTACATTATAACTTAAAAATAACATTATAACTTGGAACGCTGTATTAGTTAATCGCTAGAACATTGAGAAGGTAATTGCCTCGTACAGACGTAAACGTTAATCTTTAGTTTGGATTTTAAATTAATTAAATTCTACTCTACTTTAATGAAGTTAATTCACCTTTTCCTAAATATCGAAATTTATACTAAAATAAAAAAAAAAGAAATTAGAAAATGCAAAAATATCGCGCAATGTTGCATTTAGCTTTGTTTCAGATGTTAAACATTATGTATTTTATTTCCGTAATGTTAGTCTATCAATTAAATAGTAACAATTTATTGGCTTTCACTGTAGACTTTGGAGATATCGCTCACAGCTGATCCAGCCAAGGAAGTGGAAAGTTCATCCGACCATGATTCCCCAGCTGGTAACACTTCGGGAAGTAGCGAGTCGAAAAACAATGAATCGAATCAATCACTTAAAGTTAAGACTGGTTTGCAGAAGAGGGCCGCAGGCTTTCAGGCAACCTTGGTTTGCTTAACGATTACCAATAGTGGAGAACAAACTGAAAATATAACTGCTCTCAGTTTGAATTCTTCTTATGGTTTGTAAGTATTTAAAGTACTTGCAAAATATCAGTTTTAATGTATGCTTCTGTATTATTTGATTAAATGAAACGAGATAAGCGAAAAGTCCACATAATATTTTTAGTTAAAATCTCTTTTTCAATTGACATAGTCGACTGCAATCAAATTGACTGTGATGATTTATTTTCTAGACTTCGTCTGTTATTTTGTGATCTTAACCCAGAAACTTTATGTTTGTCGGTGTATACATATATAAATATAATAATTGTATAGCATAAATCAAGTATTTTTCTTCCAGTCGAGCTATTTTGATACTTCAAAGATTGAAAGTTGTAATTGTAACTTTATGATAATTAATGGTGTAGATACATATTTACTATTATCATCAAATTCTGAAATTCTGCAGAGTTGTTAGTAACGTGAAATTTTAATAAAATTCACCTTCCTTGGAATCGTTTTTAAACAAAAATTATTTACTTCTTTTTTTTAGAATGGCTTATGGGAACGAGTCTGGTATAGTGATAATAGACATTGTTCAGAAGATTTCCTTGATTGTGTTGAATACCGGGGATATTGGTGGTAATACAGATCCGTGTCAACGAGTGCTACGCAGTCCAAAACGTCAGGACGAATTGAAACGAGAGAACGAGGACAAAGCGAGAAGTCCTAGCACAGACCAGGTAAAATGTATTTCTTTCTTAGTTAAAGTTGTCTTAAATATTTTAACCGTTACCCTCCTCGTTTCCCTCGACCCTGTCCGACGAAACATCTTGAAAAATTTGATATTTAAATATATGCATTTCGCTTTTTTTCTAGACACTATAAAATTAATAATCTCCATTATTGCATGATTGTAAAGAGAATTACATAATTTGAATGTCCAAGTTATTACCAAATTTGTAATTATAAATTTTTTATTTCTTTTGTAAATACAAAATGACCTTAAGTTCTCAATAACATCGTGACACTTCAGCTTCGATACGATTATTAAGAGTAGAATTGATTAAATAGTCGTAGATCAGTCGTATAATACAGTGTTTTTCGAGAATAGCTCTCTAGTTAACATTATTTTAAAACAGGACAGGAAAAAGAAAATGTCACAGGTGACTAATTTTTCCAGGAGATTGGTTGACTAGTAAATAATTTACTGCTAAAAACTTGTTGGAAGAGCTAATATATTTTAACAATTAACCAAAATTATCATTTTATTTCACGCCTCATTTACAACGTTTTATATGTTTTACATGATGAAAATAGTGAATGAAACAGGTTTCAATAAAAATGATAACTAACAAACCGAACACCCAACGATAAACTGAAGAACTATTCAGTCGAATAAAAATAACGTAGACGATATCGAAATAATTACTTAAAAAAGGCAAATAATTATAACATTCGGTGATGTTTAAAACTATAAAATAACTAATAAAATACATACAATTCCTATAAAACTAAAATCAAAGCAATTAAGGAACTGAAACTTTTGTCGTTCGTTTTATTTTCTTGTACTCATAATTATTGTCATGCGTTATTTTAATTCATAAGATGCTTTTAATTAATCCATCGTTTAGATAGAGACTCTAATAGTTAAGTAAGTATATATAACCACTATATTATTTTTTTACAAATTCCAAGCAGAAAGTTTAGCAACGTGTAGGCAATTTTGAAAATTTTCTATTTCTCTATGTTTCTCTATGAAGAAAATTCGCTTCATGCATATTATTATGGAAATCTTTTTTACTCCTTTTCGCGATTTTTGCATGAGCATTGAACATTGTGATCTTAAATACCTTCAAAGGCAGAAGATTACGTAATTCAACTTTCGTTTGAAACTCTGAAACTTTTTATTTAAAAACAAGGTTTTGAAAGCAGAAGGAACATTATTTTTTATTATAGATTATTCAGAGCAGGGGTTGGAAACTTTGAAGAATTAATTAGTTGGTTATTCTCGACTTGAGTTTTTAATAATCCCTATACAGATTGTACTACGTAATTGGAACAAGTTATAGCTCTGAGACAATGGAGAGACAGAAAGAAAATTTTGTTTTATAAAAATTAAATTCTGCCTGATTAAATGAACTCTCGGGAGATGATCACGTTTTCATGATTTTAAAATTATCTTTTAAAAAATTATTTTTTAAAATATCTGTAATCATGGTTAGTCTGAGAGATATTTCAACCTCAATTTCAGTTGTCTTCTTTGTCTTGAAAATGATAAGTCTCACAAAATTGAAGTTAAAATATTTTTCAAACTAATCGATTATGCAGAATAAGATGACATATATGAAAAGATATATAGCATTTACAAAGAAATAGAGATGACTTTGAAATATTCAAAATATTCACTAGTAGTAGACATTTACATTAAATCATACACGTGTTATGTATTATGTAAGGAAAGTCCGAAAACTTTCACCTTTGTTCAATAGAATTAAACGTTCTGAAATTACGATTGGAATTTCCAAGCGACGAGATTGCCTTTGTGTATTTGATGTGCAGTGTATTTTCTGCTTGGAATCTTAGAAATAAACAGAGTTTAGCAGAGAAAGTTGTATCTAGACACGAGTCATTCAGTTTTAAGTAACAAACGAGAATGTTATCGGCAACTAGTGGTCAAACTTGTCATTTTCCATCTGCCGAGAAATTGAAATTAGTTGTAAAACAGATTTATGTAAATCAATTTTATCGAAAGTATAATTTCATGTCACGCGTACGAGAGTATCGACGAGAATCTTCAGCTCGTCTTCAGGAGCTGTTGCAACGCTGTTTTTACTGTATTTTCAAAAACAAAATTGGATCCTATATTGCCTAGTTTCTTTCTAATAACAAACAGAGCAAGATGTATCTTCATCATATTCATGCTTATTATGCATTTAATGTTTAGCTAACTATGTGTCTACCTACGTTGAAACAAGTAAGAACAATATTACTTTTTCGTTTAAAGAGACAGCTAGAGACCTTTTTGTTTTTTTTCGTTTTTAATGATATGCGAATATTATTTTCTTGCGAAAATAAACGAACTCGACAGAAGTAGGTAGTGAATATAACTGTAGTAGATAATGTTTCAGTTTTCACCATTAGCTTTCAGTCGTATTTAGAAGTTTCAATTCGATGTTGAATACGTAGAGAAACGAGAAAGAAACAAACAAGCAACACGACGAGAAATGTAGCTTAAATCAACTAGACAATGACTCTTATCATGATTGTGTACCGCTTAAATGAACCCAGTAAAATTTACATGTGCGATCGGTCTTTTCACATAAACGTTTGATGATGGAGTCTGTGCTGCATGTACATGCATACGTATATAGCAATCAAACTAAAGTTACAATGATACTACAAGATATACAAAATGTGGTTAAACGAAACATGCATTTATTACTACATATTATATATTATATTACTACATATTACTATATATTATATATTATATGTTATAATATCGTTTCCGAATCGAGTTGAAAAAGTGCATGGATGAATTAACTTTAACCAGCCTCTATATTTCGTTGTCGAACTACATATATATATATACGAAAGCCCTTTTTCTCTAAACAGAATTAAACAGAACAAAACCAACCGTTAGACTAGTTTCTTTTTTTTCTTTTTTTTTTTTTAAACAATCGAAACCTTCAAGCAGTTTCAATTTTTCAAGCATTTACCTCATATCTGCAAATACATACATACTACTTGCACACAGCTAACAAGTTTTTCTCTTATGTCTTATAGCGTGCTTGTTCACGTATGTCTTTTGTTTTTGCGTTGCAAGACATGTCGACAAGAAGCGATTACTGATGAAGAGGTAAATTACTCTTTAATTGGAAAATGCGTGGCAAATCTTATTCGAGTGTTACTCATGTTACATGAAACTTGCCATATTTATTGATTCCGCTTGGTTGAAATCTTGGTTGTAAAGAGGAAAATTGCCCCATTGGATTTGAAGGAATTACTTTATATCATTACAACATGATTAATAAAGAAGGAGTTGAAAATGTTCTTTGAAAAATATTTGAACACTCGAATTCCTTTTATATTCACGTTTATTATAGTTCTTTCACATTTACATAGTTTTCCATAGCGTTTTCCTTTTTTAATAAATAATACTATTGTACGCATAAAAATGCTATATTTATGATACGACGTTGATGTGTTGCGTTAAGCTTTATGCTCAGAATTATCGCTAAAGACACTCGACTAGCAGCATTGTCTACATAACAGTATACGTTTCGTTTTTTTTTTTTTTTTTTCTACAAAATCGAGCATCGTTGCAAACGTAGTGAACCTCTGTACTATATTTACCTTGTAATTGCAGATTGTAATGGTACAAAGTACAAAAATTACTAAATTTAGTTCCTGTTGTTTTCTTACAAAATATACGGTATTAGCACTAATTTAAATCATGATTAAAACATCGTAGCTTTACGAATTGATTGTGTTGAAAGTTCGGAAGAAATGGTAAGGTACATTATTATACATCATACGTTAATAGAGTAGTTCTTTGATTAATATTTCACTTTATGATCGAACGAAACGAAAAGCAGCAAGGTGTAATGTTATAATGTCAGATATAAAAATGTATATATTTATAACAAGAAGTTACGAAATGTTTCAGTTACGTACGTATATCGTCTCCGTAAATGACAGCATTAGTCAAATAGTGACGATTATAGCAGGTGATTTCAAATATACACACGTGTACGTATATATAATCAGTAAAATAACTAATTGAAGCGTTCCATTGGAATTCCTCGCGAGGAATTATACTATTTTAATTGTCACGGAAGGACGATCGAGAATTCTTTGGAATGTTTCAATTCGCTTGTAATGATTCTACTTACAATATGCTGCAGCCGTCTATGTTAAGTATGCTAGACGTATTTTAGGTTGAAAAGAAAAGTGAACAGTATAGTATTATTGCTAGCAATGAATTGGTAATAGACTTGAAGAATTAATTATATTTTCACGGTAATAGTTTTGCTAAAATAGTGCGTATATATGTATATATACATGGTAGATGCTTATCGGGTGGGGGAAATTTGTTTATCCAATTCAAAATACACAAAAGATACTTCTTTGATATTTTTTTCTCATCTCTCTGAAGCAGTGATGCATACAAAATGCAGAGAGTTAAAGTGCATCAAAGCTGTTACTAGCTGACATTTCAAACACTGTGAAAGAGATAAGAATCCACAGTCTCGTTCAGTGTAAATTATCTAGAAAACAATACAGTGACAATCGTGTCAAAGCAAGTGACATAGTTCACGTTCGAAGAAAATACGGAATACACGTGGAGTGTGTATCCTTCGTACTTTCAGAGATATTATGCTACAGCAGCTTTGGTAACAATATTCCAAGTGTCAGATGTTTAAAATCTCCGACACGCGGGCAAATTTATTATTTTCTGTGCCCCCCCCTGTCTCGTAATGTAAATTTTAAACTGATTAGCCGAAACATCTTTGAAGACATTTCTCTTTCAGTATCATTTGTCTCAAAACAGTTCTATTGTCGACTGTGATTTCCATCTGTCAGTGTCAGCTACTTTGAATACCATACAATGGGTATTTAATAAGCAATTGTGTTAGTATCGGAAAAATTGTAGACACCCTCTATGATATATGTACATAAGTTACACGATGACACGTGCTTGTTCAAAAAGTCAAGTTTAAGACGTAATTCGTATTCTTCGTTTGGAACTCTCTCTTTCTAAAAGTTCTTGTCTTGTTACTATCAACGAAGCTGTTAATCGAGCAACGATTATATATCATACAATCAAAATTCTTGTTACAAATTGTATAAGAGTCACTAGCATTAAAGTCTCGTTGTAAATTCTAGTTATTATCAATGAATCTGTTAATGAAACTAAACTGTTATTTAAACGATAACTGCTAATTAATATCAGGATCGTTTGTAATCAAGGATTATCCCGGATTTTACTTGTATTTTTGAAAAAGCACGAAACGATGCACACGTTCTTGCATCTTGTAACGCGGCGAGCACACATTTCGCCGACGTATTGTTTCTATGAGCATCTTAGGTATTCATCCGCGTGTAATTTTAATGCGATTTCTACGAAGCATCGAGTGATTTATACCTTCCCGTGTCTGCACTCTTCGTTCTTATCATTTTCCGACAATCATTTTGCGCTCATTTGGGAAGTGACAAGTGACCATGCGTTTGCGATATCTCTTCGTTTGGTGACTATAAAAAAAAAAAAAGAAAAAAGAAAAAAGAAAGCTTCAGTACACATCGCTTTTCATGAAAGTATCATTCGTGACGAGTAAAAAGTATACGTAGGTATAGCATTGTTATACTCAATTATAGCGTGTAACACGTTCATATAAGATACATAAGGCTGTTACCTTTATATCGTGTCTTACGAATTCCACGAGGGACAATACCGACAGGCGTCTCACGATAATGCCATGTGTATCATACGCATATATATATATATATATATATAAAACATACGAGATGATTTGCTTCTAGAATTAGACGATTAAACAATCTTGATGTTTCATTCAGTACACGTTGATTCATTGTGTCAAAATCCAACATGTTCAAATTCGTCAGACACGTGGAGACACTACCGTGGAGTCTGAAGGGTTATTAGCCGACAGTGCTCAACATTCTCAGCCGCGCGGTGAATTTCAAGCCGGAAGCAATAACGAGAAAGGAACGACGACGGAGGAATCGGTAAATGAAACGAATAGACCCACCGGCGGCACGGCGGTGAACGAAGAAGACTGTGCCAAGAATCACGGTTGGAAGGGATTCAGTCTGAAGAGGCAGCTCAGCAAGGTTGATCTGAAAATAAAAAGTACTTTCACGCCGGCTTTGGTGACGTCTCAGAATGGGGTACTTGTATGCTTTTTGATATATATTTTTGATAGAAAACAAATACATATGTATATGTACAAGGTGTTTTGTAACTTGTGGGACCAACTTCGGGAGCTGATTGTACGCCTAAAAATAATGAAAAAAAGTCATATAAATATACGTCCTATCTGTCTTCGTTTATGAGATATAATGAACTTTATAAACAGAGCAAACTATAGTAAGCTAGTTTTACCAGGGATGGTATATATTCAATTTTCATAATAATCATAATTGGGATGAAGAAAACCCACATGTTGTTGTGCATTCAAGACATCAACACCAGTTTAGTTTTAAACGTATGGGCAGGAATAATTGATAAATTTTTAATTGGACCTTTCTTTCTTGATGGGAAACTAACAGGCACAAAGTA